TCTTTTTAAGAAATATTATTTCTTATTTTAAAAAATATTATTTCCTTTTTTAAGAAATAATATTTCTTATTTTAAGTTTCATGTTTCAGGTCTTTTTAAGTATTTCCGCGAACTCAGAAATGAGAAATATCTAAGTATCGTCATCAGTGAACTGCTTCGTAGATTAATAAGCTGCTTTAATTATTGAAATACTTTTACAACAGCTTGCTTTGATAAAGCTTGCTGACTAAAGACCAACAATTTAATTGTTGACATCAGCATTTGTTGTTGCAAAAGCATTTGAAATGAAACAGTGCTGTAAAGCTTGCATGCCAAGTCATTAGGGACGATTCATGGTCGTTTTTTTAAGGTACTCTTTAATTGTGATAAGGTTTTGCAGCTTTGCAGGAAAAAGATAAACAAATAATAATCGTCACAAAATTTGATTTCAGAAGTTTTTTAATTGAATGTGCGATCGTCACGTTATTGTTACATCGTCAAGAGGCGTTTTTGTTTGATATCATATATAATCGGAAAAATAGATGAAAACAAATTATTTATTCAAAGTTTTTAAGCACTTTGGTCGATAGCTCGTTAAAATTTTACCGAAAAAAGTCACTTACCCAAAACTGTTCATTTCAAATAGACCTTGAACTTTTGTTTGGATGTATTTTTTGATAAAGGTAATAATTTGCAAGAAATTGGCGTTATTTTCCAACTAATCGGTTTATTCGCAAACTTTGTCTTAATTATTCGTAATCAGGACCCCAAAATACATGGATATACATAATTAAAAATATCATCTAAATAAGTAAAAAAAAAAATAAATATACAAATATACAAACTTTCAAACTGGGGTCGAAATCGGGCCATTCTCGCCCAAGACCTAACCAACTTACTTAGCACATTGCATTCTATGTGCACAATGCCCGAGTTTTTTTTTTCCTCTTTGTGAAAAATTGAGAAAAATTCAGAAAATTTTAATTTCAGAAGACAATATGGGCCATTCTAGGGCTTCGGACGCGACATACTGACAACTTCCGATCAGAAGCATCACATGGCAAGCTTAGGTATCGGTCAACAACTCCACATCATCTCGCTCGTCTATTCTCATTGTCCATTTTTTTGTTGGTGAGCGAAGATGTCGAAATTTGAACCGAATATGCGTCATTTGCGGGAGATATTGCTTTTCGCGTTTCATTCGAAAAAATCTGCTGCTGAAGCGCGTCGAATGATTGTAGCAACATATAGTGAGTAGTGTATCAGTGAAAGAACGTGCCGAGAATGGTTCGTGAAATTCGAAAATGGTCAATATGACGTGGAAGACAAGGATCGGCCGGGTCCCGTGAAAGAGTTTGAAGATGCAGCTTTGGAGACTATGTTGGATGAAGATTCTTGTTAGACACAACAAGAATCCATCACTGGAGCTCTCTATTTTAAATAATCAGTATGTAGCTATTTTTACGCAATAAAGCCTCAAACTATGAAAAAAACGGCGGTTTTCTACTTCTACACCTAATAGCTTTTTTTATTTTTTAATTTTTGATTTGGATAGCTCCAAATCATATCTACCAATGGTAAAAAATTTAGCTAAACATATCAAATAACTTCTTGGAATTAAAAAAAAAAAAACATGAATTTCAAACTCGACAAAATTGGAAAAGGAATCTACAAAACATGATGAAAACACAAAGGTCTGCGAGCATGGACGGAGTTTTTGCACATTCTTTGTTTTCAATATACCCAGAGGGTGCTTGCATTCACCTAAGCAAGTTTAATTGAAAAAATTTCTGAAGTTTTTTTTTAAATGATTATAGATTTCGGACGCAAATGATGCATAGATATATCTTTTTTTTTTATTAAAATTTAAACTGTAAAGTTTAGCGACATTATTTCAACAATAAGCCACTTTTTTTAAGTTAACAGTCAGATTATATCTAACTTATTCTACGGCAGCCATATAAGTTAGTGGTTGGAGTTTAATAAAAGTCGTTAAATAAATTGTATAATTGTGCTCAATAAATAAGTTAGTTTTTGTACTATGTTGCTCACTACGAAATTAAATTAAATTATTTTATTATTAAGAGTGACGTAAATTTCATATTATTGTTATTACGAGATTTGTAGTGTATTTTTCGTATTCTTGGAACCTGGGCCACATTTTTCTATTTTTACTACAACGGTATTGATAAATAGTTTTACTCAATATTTTCAAAGCCAAAATATGAAAAAATCTATTAAGCTACGGACAATGAATTTATTTTTAAATGTTCCTTAAGTTTTCTTATAATTTTGGTTACAATTATACCAAACAAAGAAGTTTTATCGCTTATTTCGCTATTAAGACAGCAAGTGGCGCTAAGAATTGATTGATGGCTCATCAATTTTTATTTTTAAAAATACTGATTTTGGACGCCAAAGACTTAAAAAAAACAATTATACATTTTTGAAAAAATTGTAAATAACCTTTTACTAAGGACCTATCTTAAGGCATAAAAGCACAGATGTGTTTGGTGCCCTTTGTGGCAGTAAAACGAAAAAAAAAGGTTTTTTGATTTCGGACGCGACGTTCAAAAATAACAAAAGTAAAGGTATGGGCATTAAATACATTATTTTTTAAGCTGCCTACATTTTTATCTTAAAACCTTTGGCTAAAACTTTGAAACGTGATCCAAAAACAAAGAGCTGCTGCGACAAATAGTTTGTGTTGCTTCTGGTCCAAAGTCGTCTATCTACATAAGTGGAACAGTAAGAAACGGACTCGCTTATCAATATTTTAGTGTTTCTTTAAAATTTTATTAAATAAAACAAAATTTCTCAATGTTTAGTTTTTATGGCTTGGTTGACCTTTTGCTGTTTGTTTTCGGCTTCACAAAAAAGCCGCTGCTAGAGACACGTTTCTGTTCCTCGATACTCATCTTAGTTTTACAGAGCCTTGGTCAGACGGACATAGCTAGATCGACTCGGCTATTGATCCTGATCAAGAATATATATACTTTATATGGTCGGAAACGCTTCCTTCTACCTGTTACATTATTTTCAACGATTACAATATACCCTTTTTCATTACGAGTAAAAGGCATAATTAACTCTCTTTTAGTTAATATATAGCTAACGGTACATTTCAAGAAATGTAAGTGGTATTTTACTTTAAAGAAATGTAATCTAACAGTGTTCATGGTCCTTATTAATTAAAAAAAGAAAATTTAATTAATATAATGTAGCATCAATTTTTTTAAGGACACCAAAGAACACAGTTCAGACCCCAGAACATAAAAAATTATTTCTGCCCTTGCTTATGATTTTATTTTAGATAAAAAAGCTCTAGTAAGAATTTTTAATCATCAAATTGGCTTGTCATAGATTTCTGGGCATTCAAATAAGTATAAAATGCTTTTTATAAAGGTCAGAAATGGGTTGAATTCTTTAACGCTGTATTAGAGAAAAGTGTGTTATTTATCAATAATTGCGTAATCTCAATAACTATAAGGACTCGAAGTTAGAAAAAAACTGTTTCTGGCATTTTCATCGTCAAAATGTGTACATAGAAACATCATTTTGTCTATAATTTTTTAATTAAATCTATCTTTTTTAGTCGATTTCTCGATCAACTAGCGGGTTTTCCCAAAAGTGGTAAAGCAAATGTTTTTCAGCTCAAGCTACTTAGCATAGTAAAATTGGTTTCAGGGCCCAAAACATCAATTTGATTCAAACCAACAAATAAACAGAAAGACAAAAGTTTTCATTTCATAAATACAGTCTATATCTTGTTTATCGAATATCTTTTGAACGAAGCATCGTATCGTAAGCGTATTTAGCGCCAGAACTTTTTGCTCCACCGGCTCCAATAGCTCCAGTATTCGAAACAATTTTATTAGCACTTTTACCCCCATTTATCCTGAATCAATTGACTTTTTACAAGAAAGTATTAGCATGCACAAGATCGTTGTTGGTTTTATTATTATTATCATAAAGCTGCTTATGATATAGCCGTTTAAAACTTAAGTTTTAACTGCAATTGCAATAGGAATAGACTTTTTTTTAAGGTTTCATATTAATAGCTTTAAACGTCTAAACACGGACCGACAAACAAACATGAACATAATATATAGGTATACCTTATTCATACAGTTTTCCAAACTTTAGGCAGAAATTAAAAAGCCTTCTGCAAGGGTATGCCTTAGGGCGGCATCTGAGTGAAAACTCGGTATAGACAAATTGTTTTTTAACACACGCATAAAAATCGAAATATACTCGTTATGTAATTTAATGCCAGCCGAAGCTAGATTTCTTTCTTGTTTTATATTGTGTTTGTAAAAATTGTAATGAGTTCTAAGAATATATAAGTTATAAATAGTTTTTTTGGTTATACTATTTATGTTGTTTTTTATTAAACAGAATTATATTTTTAATAAATAATAAATTTAAACACTATTATTGAATTATTCTAAAAAACTAAAATTTGTAAAATAATAAAAGAGAATTGATTAAAACCAAAATAAATAGGCATCCACCAGGGTAAATATGACCATTAAATCTCTTACAAATCTGTAGATAACACTGTAAACACTAAGTGAAACTTTTGTTTTACTACAAAATCCTAAGAAGAATGCTTTAAGCTACTTAAATAACACTGCAAAAAGGTAAGGGGTCCGTATTATTTTATTAAATGTAAAAGCTGAAAAGCATTCATTGAGATCTACTCAATGTGATTTTAAGCAATGTAACATCTAGCCAAAAAACAGCTGATATGGTAAGTCCCCAATGCAGTGCCAAGCAGCGGAATGCCAACAAAATCTTAAACTGGTTTTGCTCAGGGGTACTTGTTGATTTTTGGTTTTCGCCTAGATCAGAAGACCGGCTGAAAACAAAGCAACAGCTGAGAGAGTATCTCGGAACTCAAGACCCTAGACTGTTGGTAGGGCCACGCTCTCTTTCCGTTGCTCTCTCTGAGTGTTCTCTCTAGATAATAACAATACACTAAAGTTGGTGATTGCCTGGTTCATTGAATATACTTCCATTCATATGTGAGCAATGCTTGTGAACAGACGCAAACGCGGTATAAGATAAAATACCTTGATAACAAGTAAATGTACCCTTATAAATAAGGAGCTGCAGCAGCAAATGCTAATACAAGTTTTTAAGTGCTGCGGTTACAAAAATCAACTCTAAAAGTGTAAAGTGGCAAACAAATTTAAAAACGCAACTCGGTGTACTCAAAATTTTAATAAACTCAACTGCAAATATGAAGGATTTGTTTGCGCGCCGTTATAGTGCAGTTTGTGTAAGCGATGAAGAGGCCAACAGTCAGCGGCCATCGATAGCGATGCATGGATTTGGAATGGAATTGCAACCCGACGCAGATCCTGCTTCGTCATGGGCCACTCAGACCTCCATTCGCAAGAGTCTCAAGGCAAATCGTTCGATGAATCCGATGGACATGTTGGGTAGCTTTTTCAACGAACCAAACCAAAGCAACCGCAATAGAATTCCTACCCGTAAGTTCTAGAAAATTCAGAACCGAGGAATTGTCCCTAAGAAAGAGGTCTTTCTAATCATATCTATGTGAAGGTCATAATCACATAAATAGTCATATTGTAATCATCAATTATAAGTTTCGTGATGAACCTATGTATTTGCTTTAGCTTTAATCACTTTTTGTTAGACTTGCTTGGACGCGTGTTTGACAAATGCGGAACAGTTAAAATAGAAACCTCTCATAAAACCATCAAAGCTGTTAACTTCCTGTTTGTTTTTTGTTTTGATCAGCAAAAATGTAAAACAAATAAAATCAAAAGTCGACAGTGACATAGATACTTTGATTGGCTTCGAGATTTCGCAAACTATTTTGACAAACTACAAACAACTTCGAACACAAGTTATATCAATTACGTATGGATTCAGTTCGACCTTGAACTTGACCATAAAATAAAACCAAACAACCTGAAATTGATTTACATTTTACTTTCCATATATGAGTCGTAAGGCAAGTGCCAGTTTCAAATTTCGTGCTATCGGTTGACTTACTGTTGCTTATGCTGGGGGATAGCAACAACGATCATAGCTGACCTTAAATGGTTACTGACAACCTAGTTTTTGTGAACATAGTAACATACATGCAGTACAAATATAAAAAAGAGTTTATACTTAAAAAACCTTAATATTTTATTGCCTTATAAAAAGCTTTATGTACTTGCATACATAACATTTTTTTCATAAAATGTATTTGGTTATTATTTGATACTTCTTGGACATACTACCAGGGAAACGTTTCAGATTAAACCTGCTCCAAAAACTCCCTAAAACTATTAAAACTTAAAAAAAAAAAATGTTGTTTGGATCTATTTTAATAAATTGTAGACTTGGCATTTATCATAAAATTAAGCATTTCGGGCTTTCATAATTTTAAATAAATCTGTAGTCAGTTGCACTCATTTTTCTTCTGTGCGGATATTTTTGAAAAATAATAATCAGTATTATCACAAATACATTGTCTTACTGCATATTTATACCCTTGCAGAGGGTATTACAATTTCAGTCAGAAGTTTGCAACGCAGTAAAGGAGACATTTCCGACCCTATAAAGTATATATATTCTTGATCAGCACCACTAGGACAGTAGATCTAGCCATGTCCGTCTGTCCGTCCGTCTGTCCGTCTGTTTCTACGCAAACTAGTCTCTCAGTTTTAAAGCTATCTGCATATAACTTTCTATTGCAGCTAGTCAAAAGTCGGAACGAGCCGGATCGGACGACTATAGCATATAGCTCCCATAGGAGCAATCGGAAAAAGTTTGTTAAGAAATTATTACTTTGCTGTTTTTAAAAATTTTTTTTAGTTCGAATTTAGTAATGGTTAAATATTTAAGAATTACGGCTAAAATTTTATCAAAATCGGATGACTATAACATAACATAACACATAACATAACTTTTCTATTTCTAAATTTTTTTTAAATTATTGTTGACCTATTAATAATTTGACAGTTTAGAATTACGCTCTTAATTTTATTAAAATCGGAAAACGATATCATATAGCTGCCATAGGAACTATCGAATAATTGAGCTGTAAATCATCATAGCTTCAATGTTTTAAACATATACGCAAGTAAATCATAATTTTAATGTTTTCAAGAATAATTAATTTTTGCAATAGCTGCAAGGGTAAATAAACTTCGGCTTGCCGAATATTTTTTCCTTTCTTGTTTTTGTATACATTAAAATGTTCATACTTTCGGATTTTTTTTTTCTTAAGTTACACAAATTTACAAAATGCTATATAACTGTCATTAATAAAATACGTATATGTAATCAGTAATTGAGGAAACGAGTTTGTCATACAGTTTCATCAAACTGTTTAAGCTGATGATTGTTATGTTTCCAAGCTTTAGATTTATAGATTAATTGTTTGGAAACAACTAAACTATTTTTGTAAAAAAGGGCGATATTAACCAAAAAATCATGTCGTGAAATAAAAATATCGTAAAATATCGTGAAAAGAAATCGAATTTTAATTTTCGCTATCTTTCTTTATGTACACAAGTAAGACAAATTCTATTGCATGGAATAGATAAATTTTAAAATTCTCTAACTTGAAACTCAGTTCTAATTCTACCTAATTGCAACTTTCCCAAAACTCTTCTTTCAATTGCATGTAGCATATAAGATAAAATGGATCGGACGACTATATAATGTAGTTCTCATAGGAAAGAACGGAAAAATAAATAAAACAGTTACGTATTTTTTCTTTTTATACCCTTGCAGAGAGTATTATAATTTCAGTCAGAAGTTTGGAGTGCAGTGAAGAAGACATTTTCGACTTAATAAAGTATATAAATTCTTGATGAGCATCACTAGGAGAGTCGATCAACCGTCCGTCCGTCTGTCCGTCCGTCTGTCCGTCCGTCTGTCCGTCCGTCTGTCCGTCCGTCTGTCCGTCCGTCTGTCCGTCCGTCTTTCCGTCCATCCGTTTGTTCGCAAACAAGTGTAAGAACAATCGACATAGTAATGGCTTAAAAATTCAAAATTACGGGTTTAATTTTATTTAAATCGGGAAACGATGTAATAAATCTGCCATAGGAAAGATCGAGCAATGTAGCTGAAAATCGTCATAGCTTCAAGTTTTTAATAAAAATCTAAATTAAGATGTTTTAAAGAACATTTCGATTTTGCCTAGCTTTAAGGGTATATAAACTTCGGCTAGTCGAAGTTGGCTTTCTTTCTTGTTTTTATACGAATTATACAAATATGTTTCAAGATATAGTAATGGTTTACTATCTCGGATTTACGTTTTTAGTTTTAATTAAAGCTCAGACAACGATATCGTACAGCAGCAATAGAAAATGTAGAAAACAAGAAAGGAAGAAATCTTCGGCAAGCCGATATTTATTTGCAAAAATTAAATATTCTTGAAAACATTAAAATTATCATTTACTTGCGTATATGTTTAAAAACATTGAAGCTATGATTTTTTGCAGCTCAATTATTCGATAGTTTCTATGGCAACTATATGATATCGTTTTCCGATTTTAAATAAAATTAAGAACGTAATTCTGAACTGTCAAATTATTAAAAGGTCAAAAAACACTTAAAAAAATTAAATAATAGAAAAGTTACATTTAAAAATAAAATTTTGTTTAATATTCCCATAGGAGCTATATGTTATAGTCGTCCGATTTTGATGAAATTTAAGCCGTAATTCTTAAATATTTAACCATTACTAAATGTCGAAAGCTAAAAAGACAATTAAAAAACAGCAAAGCTAAAATTTTTTTTTTTTAATTTTTTTTCCGATTGTTCCTGTGGGAGCTATATGCTATAGTCGTCCGATCCGGTTCGTTCCGACTTATGTACTGCATGCAATAGAAAGACAACTTTTGGGAAAGTTTCATGTATAGCTATAAAACTGAGGGACTAGTTTGCGTAGAAACTGACGGAAAGACGGACGGACAGACGGACATGGTTAGATCTACTGTCCTAGTGGTGCTGATCAAGAATATATACTTTATAGGGTCGGATATGTCTTCTTTACTGCGTTACAAACTTCAGACTGAAATTACAATAACTTCTGCAAGGGTATAATCAGCAGAAAATCGACAGAGCTTTCTTGTTTTTAAAATCGAAATATCGTTTGATAAACTACATAATTTTTGTAAATGTGCAAGGGCATATAACAGGGGTGCTCAAAACTGCAGAGCATTTAACAAAACATTTAAAAATAAGAAAAGCAGCAAACTTCGGCAAGCCGAAGTTCATATACCCTTGCAGCTATTGTAAAAATTTAATATTCTTGAAAACATTAAAATTATGATTTACTTACGTGTATGTTTAAAAACATTGAAGCTTAAATGATTTACAGCTCAATTATTTGATATTTCCTATGGCAGCTATATGATATCGTTAACCGATTTTAATATAATTAAAAGCGTTATTCTGAACTGTCACATTCTTGAATAGTCAACAAGAATTTCTAAAAAAAATTACAAAATAAAAAAGTTACATTTTTTGAAATTATTTCTATTGTTTCCATGGGAGCTTTATGACATAGTCGTCCTATTTTGATGAAATTTAAACCGTAAACCGTCTGTCCGTCCGTTTCTAGGCAAACTAGTCTCTCTGTTTTAAAGCTATCTGCATGAAACTTTCCGAAAAGTTGTCATTCTATTGCAGGCAGTATATAAGTCGGAACGAGCCGGATCGGAGGACAGTAGCATATAGCTCCCATAGGAACCATCGGAAAAATAAATAAAAAATAAATTATATCTTTGGTGTTATTTTAAATTCCTAGGGGAGCTTTATGTTATAGTCGTCCGATTGTGATGAAATTTAAACCGTTAATCTGAAATATTTAACCATTATTATATGTCGAAGAACTAAAAAGAAAATTAGACAAAAAAGAAAGAAAACTTCGGCAAGCCGAAGATCATATACCCTTTCAGCTATTGCAAGAATTAAATATTTTTGCGTGTATACGTATAAGTTTAAAAACATTAAAGCTATGATGATTTGCAGCTCAATTATTAGATAGTTGTTTTATATATTTTTATTATTTCTATGGGAGCTATATGATACAGTCGTCCGATTTTGATAAAATTTAAACCGTAATTCTAAAATATTTAGCCATTACTAAATGTCGAAGAACAAAAAAAATTAAAAAACATCAAAGTTATATATTTTTTTTCCGATTGTTCCTATGGGAACTGTATGATATAGTCATCCGATTTTAATGAAATTTAAACCGTAATCCTAAAATATTTAACCAATACTACATGTTAGAGAACTAAAAAAATATGAAAAACAGCAAAGTTATACTTCTTTTAATTTATTTTTTCGTTTATTCCTGTGGGAGCTATATGCCCGATCCGACTCGTTCCGACTTATATACTACCTGCATTAGAAACACAACTTTTGGGAAAGTTTCATGCAGATAGCTTTAAAACTGAGAGACTAGTTTGCGTAGAAACTGACGGACAGACTGACAGACGGACGGATAGACGGACAA